TGGAGATCGACCATGTCCTCGTCAGACCGTGTGTGTGTGAAGAGATGTGGAATAGAGCAGCTTCGCTCTTAGCGACGTTGATTTTTAGGCTGTGCCCGGCAGCCCATGTGACCACAAGAGACAAGAGCGGTCGCATTGCCGCAGCACAGGCATGGATGTCCGCACATGAGGCAACAAGTGTGTGTTCGTCAGCGTACATGAATGCGGCGGCTGAATAGATGCTGCCCAGGCGGCGCAGCAGATCATCCACACAGTAGAGGAAGAGTTGGGGTCCCGGGACGCCGCCTTGCGGTGCTCCAGCTGAGGCGAGTTGTTTTCGGGAGTGCTGTTCGCGAGTGCATACCCTAACATAGCGGCCCCGCAGGTAGTTCTGCAGCCAGCGTTTGGTTCGAGGCCAAGGCGCGGAAGTCTGTCAAGCATGCAGAATAACTTCCCATGGTCAGTGGTGTCGAACGCAGTCGGAAAATCAATCAAAACGACGTGCGATGGCGACGAGGGCGTCGTGTGGGGGCGTCGTCCCCAGGGCGCTCATGCTCCACAATGCCAAACTCATTCAGTCCACGAGTAATTTGTCGATAACAAGTGCCACCACGTCCGACGTAGAACGCGGAGGTGCAAATCCGAAATTGACGTGGGTGGTGCGGCAATAACGCTGACAGACGGCGGTGAATCATTCCTTCGGCTAACTTTAGTAAAACAGAGAGCAGCGTGATGGGTCTGTAACTCTCTGGGCGGCATGGATCCTTCCCAGGCTTGGGAATAGGAATAGCATCTCCCATTCTCCAGGAGCCAGGCAGGCTGCCGTTTGCGAAGGAGTCGTGGATCATCGTTCCAAGAGTGCCATGCACAACGGGCCCGAGACGGTGCAGGAATTCATTCAACATTTCGTCGGGGCCAGGGGCTGAGCCAAGCAAAGAGTCACGGATGGTCACGTCAAGTACATACGGCAGGAAAGGCCGATCCATTTCCCAGCCACCAGGAACCAAAGGAGTGCAGCGAGCAGCAGCAGCAGTATAAGGCGGTATGGCACGTGAAACCGCACAAAATGACGGACAAGCAGATTTGCCTGTTGCCGAGGCAGAGCGCATGCGCGGCCAAGTTCAGTGCGGAGCACAACCGATTCCAGAGGATGAGGGTGCGACGCCGCCACGCCGTGAAGATATCGCCAGCTCGGGCTGGGTGAGGCTCCAAGTCTTTTCGCGCGGGCTTCCAGAAGCACAGCGGAGCAACGGCGTAAGGCTTGATTTCGTTCCTCCTTTTTCGGGTACATTCGGCTCAAAGTAGGCAGTCTCCGGGTGAGGCAATGTGTGTGCTTCGTGTGCTGCTTCGGCGGCGGACTCGGCTTGTTCCATTTCGTGTGTCCATATCTTTTTTGGAGCTGTCACGGCTGCCGCGCGGTATGTGGCGCTCAGATGCTCGTAAGATGCCTCCGCGAGGATCCAACCATGTGGACGCGGTGGCAAGAAGGGTTTCACACAACGATGCAAAAGCAGGCCAACCCGCTTTACGCAGGGAAAAGGTGGCTTTCTTCCGTCAAGGCAGCGTGTTTGCTAGTCGTGGAGTGCCATCGTCCATCTCTACCAAGTAAGATATTAAGCGGTGGTCCGAGTTTATGTAAGGGGCGAATGTCCAGTGGGAGATGCGTAGGGCGCAATACGCAGTCACGTCAGGGGACGAGGCATTACGATGTGTGATCCGTGTTGCCTGTGTCGGGTAATTTGCCAGCCCAAAATCCATATCAATTAGAACAGCGGCGAAATTATTGCCTCCAGTCCTTGATGGTACATATGACTGTCCCAGAGTTCACGATGTAAATTCAGGTCGCCCGCGATAATCTCTTCGGGCACAAGCGACAAACGATATTGATAAATGCGGATTATTGACCGATTGCTGTGGGAGGGTTGTAGAGATTCGCCACGCAAATGCTGCGACAGCCCGGCGGAAATACACGGACAGCAATGGTCTCCAGGAGGTCAGTGCCAGGGAGCGACAGGCGCTCGCACGGTGGAGAGTGGCGCACCAGAACGGCAACACCACCACCGCGCCCAGTGAGGCCTGAAGGTAGTCATTATGGCCACATAATTTCGTCGCAACGTCACCACGGTTACTTATTTCCTGCAGAAGAACGATGTCAGGTGGACGCTGCTCCAATCGCGCAGCAAATGCGATATTTTTCACGGACGAGAGGCCTGCAATGTTGAGCTGCCTAATATTGATGTAGCCATCCACCTCGGTGCCAGGGTTCTTGTGAACGTCACCGCCACGGGCGATATCAACGGAGTGACCGCTGCGAAACGGTCGTGCAGTTCTGACCGACAGTCTGCAGGCAGACCGCCTCACCTCCCCGCACCGGGCATGGCGTGGAACCCTCTCGGGGGGTGAAATCACCTTGGTCTCCGTCGTGCTCGCAGCAACGCCCTGCTGCGGAGTTCCTATACGCAACGAAAGCCCAGCACCGCGATAAGGTGCAACGTCATCGCTGGGGACCGTGGATAATTACGAAGAAGGGCGGTGTTGACGTCCCCACGTAAGCCGGGATTGGCATACTGCTCTCATCCCCGCATTCCTCGGAAATAACAGAGAAGGTCAGTACCAACGGCGGCACACGCCCATGCAGCCACACGACGGAGTCCCGCGCACTGCTCCCGGCCATGGAAAGGCTGAGTGTCCATCGTATCCAGCACAGACAAAAACCCTGCTTGTGGTTACAGACAGTTACTCCCTTCTAGCTGCCGTCACCAAGGGCCCGCACAGTCATACCGACTGGACGGAGGATCAGATCTGGCAGCGTCTCTTGTCGCTGACGCGTGCTGGCTGGTCAGTGCACCTGCAGTTTTGCTACAAACATTGCGGAGTACATGCTAACGAGCCTGCAGATCAGTATGCGACGCAGGCCACGGCAACCGGGCAACACACGGAGCATGGAATAGCACCCATGTGGCACACGGACCTGCTGTCATGCATTAACACCCAGCTCACCAACAAGTGGCGTAGTACCATGCATCAGGACACCCACCACTACCTGCTTGGCGGCGCCAGGCCATCAGATCCAGGCGGCAAGCACATAATCACTCAGGAAGCCCTCGACCGACAGGAACGGATACACACTGCACGGGAAGGGTGCGGGGAATCCGAGCTCTGGGGTCACCTGTACTGGACTGCGAGAGACTGCACGAACCAACGCCGTTTCCGCAACATCTCACCGGAACAGTCTGCTTTCATGCGCTCCAACGAAGATCCCACTGCAGCGGGACGGAAGCTGTTCCCCCGACGACAAGGGAGGCCGACGCACCGCCTGTGGAGAGACGGCCCTCCACACAGCGTCGAAAGAAGAAATGCCCGCACTGTGACGCCACACTGGTGGGACACACGAACCACATCAGTCACTGTCGGTGCTTTCATCCGGAGCGCCCTCCACCGCTTCCCGACCTCCACCGCGATTGCTGCGACACAGTCCTCCCCACACAAAAAAGGCACCGCACAGCACAGAAATCGCTGCGCACAGAACCCAGACGCTACTCGGCACCGCAGCAGCAGTGCCAGGAGGCAATCACTGCTACCGCAGGATCAGCCAGCCTCCACAAGCGCAACAATTAGCCCGCAGAAAACACTGCACCATCTGCTTCCGGAATGTACAGACGCTCTGGCTGTGCGCCAACGGCTGGGCATCAAGAAGGACCTTCGCACCGAAAGCTTCTCCCAATGGCAGCTGCCTCACAGCAGAAAACTCATGTCGCTGCTCGACCACCTCCTCGGCACCCTGATGACATCGTGTGGCTAGACATGTCGGTAAGAGAAGAAAATAATAATAATGAGCATTCCCGCCACTGTAGAGACGTGGTGCATCTTGCGATCCCGCTGGCGGCTCTCCTCTTCCACCGCTGTTTTTGCGCAAGCGGTCACCACAGTCATTTTTGTGGTTTGGTCGGCCTCGTGTTGTGCTCCGGGTTCTCCTCCTTCATCGCCCTGCGGTGCTTCCTTCGCCGTCCCTGGCACCTGTGACTGTCCCATGACGGTTTGTTCCGAAGCCCGATTGCCCTGGGAGGTCCTCCCGCCACCAGCATGCACTCCACCCGCTGCCTGCTGAGATGCGTCGGAGCGTGGGGATGCTGTGCCTGCGGCGTGCCCTCCGCCCAAAGACTCCGGTCCACTTGCACGCATCCGAGCAGCAGACGCGCTGCCAGTGCCGGACGGATTGCAAGTGCCACTTCGCAGTGGGTCGCTGCTGGATTGGTCCTGCCTCGTCCGAGCAGTGAGTGCTCCTGCCGAGGTGGGATTGGGGTCCTCGCCCACGGTGCTTCCTTCACCCTCCTCGTCTTCCTGATTGCTATTGTCCTCAGAGTTCACATTCCCCTTTCGTCCAGAGCCACCGGCCACGGGTCCACCTTCCGCAGCCATCACACCCCGCGCGTGCCCAGCAGTCACCGCGCCATCACCCGCGGGCAGCACACGCACCCCGTCGCAGCAGCCCTCACTCACACGCACGAGCAGCTGCGCATCACTGCAGGAGCCAACAGGACGCAGAGCACACGGCCAGTCATCACCACAAACAGTGGAGTCGCCTAACGCTGCGGATCCAACCTGCGATAGCACGAGAAAAACAAAGGGAGACACAGCCGCTACACCACGCACAGTCACAAATGGCAGCACCCCAGCAGCAGCAGCGCACACACCACGAGACAGATGGAATCAGTACGATTGCAGAGCTCGCACACCGCACCGCAAACCACAAGTTTAAAAAGCAATAAAAACAATAATTAAAAAACAATAATTAAAACAGAAAAACAAACCCAGGGCTCCAGTGCGCATGCTTATGAGTGTGTCCGCGATGCGTTCAACGTGACGGATGCGGGGCACAATGCGGAGCACACAGAACGGCAGCAGAAGCAAGTGAAGCAAAACAAGATCATTATTTCCTCTTATTTTATACAGTGAACCACAACACACACGCACAAATCCCCGCGGTTGAGTGCTGGCACGCACAGCCCGCACACACCTCTTCAGCCCAGAGCGGTGTACGCCAGCGCGGATGCGGCGAGCACCAGCGGGGCACACACCCACGCAGAGCTACTGAGGCTGCCGTCCATTTCGCGAAGACGTGACGGTGCGCGGGTGGTCGACACAGCTGGCGCCTCTGTAGTCGTAGTACTTGGTGCCTCTGTTGTAGTGGTGGTCGTCGTGGTTGGTGGCTGTGTTGTAGTGGTGGTCGTGGTCGTGGTATTTGGCTTGTGTTCGGAGTTACTGGATGCCTCTGACCCAGAGGGCCTCTCAACTGTTACCAGTGGCGCACCCGGTCCCGGTCCCGTACTGTCCGCAGAATTCGATGTATGTGGCTTTTTGTCCGTGACGGTTGCATCCTGTCGATCTGACTGCGTGGACCTCTCACTTGATGACTCTGATGTATGGCCCACATCTGATTCTTCTCCCGATTTTACATCCTGATTTTGTGCCCCTGAGGCACCTGGCGCAATTATTGACCCTCCCGTGCCTAATTTCCCTCCCGCCCCGGCCACACCTTTTACCTCCGGAGAAGATGAATCGGGGTCTTGAGCTGCCACGCACACGGACGGGCAGCAGCACAGGCCAAGCACCAACAGGGCGCACAGCAGACGGCACTTCATCATCGTGAGTGTGGTCGTTCAGTGGTGTGGAGCTGATCTGCACAGTGAGGGAAATGGAGAGCAACAGGAGAGACGAGAGGTGCGGCAGACACACACAGAGGGCACACCACATGAGGAGAGGGCAGCAGCCAGGCATGCACCGTACGCCGCACGCCACGCGCGACTCCCTGGAAGCAAAACAAAACAAAGAAAAGATCTCTCAGCAGAATGTTTCGTTTCATGTGCCCCAAAGCATACAGGAAATGGGTAAGTGTATACATATTGCCCGCACAAACAAAAAATATCACTGTTCCACAAGCCCACACAACATCCCTCACATTCCATGCGGCATCCGGCCTGCCCCTCCAATCCCCGTTTTGTGCGGTTCGTGGGACGCACAGCAGTGAGGCCGGCACCGCGTGTGGACAACAAAAAGCAAACAAGAGGGGAAAACACGTCACCCATGACGGTGTGTCTGTTAGGCGGACATTGAGGGAAAAAGGATTTTGGAAAAAGGTCAGAAAAGCAAACAAAAAACACGAAGTCGCTTATTAACCCAACAAAGCACCTGCGCCAAAAAAATAAAAAGAAAAAAACAGAAAAATAAAATCCCCGGCAAAATGAAGTAAGTGCTGCTGGAAAGCTGAACAGTTTTTTCCCCACGGGGAGTCGCCACTCCACCCCCCATGCCTTCTTCAGCACAGGGCCGTCATGCCCCACAGTTGCAGCACCAAAGCAGGCAGTAGTAGCACCGGGGACACGGACAAGTGGACGGTGCTGTCGCCACAACTCGGGTCACCCTCGTGCTTCCTCTGCTGTTTGGCAACACCCGATTGTGGAATAGGGACTGTGCTTGCATTGAGTTGCTCCAACCCTTCACAATACACTGTGTGGTTGTACAGAATAACGTTGGTCACCGTCATACGGCTGCTCTCCGTGCCTCTCGAACTGCCCCAGCCAATAAAGAGGTATGAGATCCTGTGTTTCTCCAGCAGGGTTGCAAAGCTTTCCTCTTCCGCTTTCTTCATGTACAATCCCCTCCCATCCACAAACACGTAGCAGCCATCCGTATTCATTTCAAGCGTCACTTGATACGTCGTGTTTGGTTTCCAGTCAAAAAGAGCAGGCTCGTCAGGATTAGCGTCACTAGGAGTCATAAAGCTCCAATTCCTTTCGTGGGTGTACGACAGGCCAATGAGCACCGTGCTGTTGGGGTCGCTCATCCCCACACCCACCAAAGGGACGTTGCCACTCTCCGGCACCTCGTGAATCGACACCGCCGCCGCAAGAGTGAACTCCCTGTTTGCAAAGTGGTGCGGCACAGTCGGCCCATTCATGTCGACCGGCCACTGCGCTCCCGCTCCGGCGCCTTTGAGCGTCACTCCATTAACAGCCGCTGCCGTATTCTTTATTATTGCGCCCACGCCGAGTTACTCGTCCTGCCACTCGGTCTCAGTTGAGCTGCCGGAAAAAAAGGGCAACCAGACCTTTGGTGGGAACAGGACCACTGCACATGCCATTTGCTGCCGCCCAGCCAACCTTGGCAGTACGACTGCATGATTGCAAGGCACTGTCCAAATCTGTCCATTTCTTCGCCACATCCTTTACACGCTGCAGCCCCGCCGCCACGCGCACTTCAAAATGACCGTCTGATCCGTCCTCGCTCTTCTCTTTGTTCTCGTACAGTGAAAGCAACTCGTCATTATTCCCTTTCACCAACAGGGAGCTCGCGGCAGCGTCATCACCCTCACGGGATATGGGACCAACATCGTGCACACGCACAATGCTCGTCACCCAAAGACGAAGCCGACCCTTTTCATTGTCCTTAGAATACGCGGGCAGGGCGGCGAGCATCACCTTCTCGCCCGCAATGACTGCGGTGGTGGATCCACTCTGCACTCCGTACCCTTTTCTATCATGTGAGTTGCCCCACACGCGATTAATCGACACACGATTTGGATACCAACTCGTCCCATGCCCATCGGACACGCACAGTTGGTGCTGGCCATCCCCACAAGAAGACATCAGAATAAGTTTTTTGCCAGCTACCCACTCCACAACGGATAGATCCCTGCAGCCCCTGCCAGTCGTGCCATACGAAAGCCTCCATTTATTATCCGACGAAGTGAGCCGCACGGCGAGTAAAACACTCTTTCCATCCCCGCCTGTGGCCTGCAGGGAAACACAATCGTGCCGCCATGAAACGCAACACCCGAGCCTCCTCCACCATTCAAATTCTTCAGGGAGTTAGTGCGACCTCCGGCATCGGGTTTAACCGCATGGGCCCCACTGCATCGGATCTTCTTGCTCTCACCCTCTTCAGTGACGGTCCCCCTCACAAGCAAAAGGCTCCAGTTGCTTGTGTCAGCCGGTTGTGTGTCAGAACTTGTTTTGCCTTAGTCCCCAAGAGGCAAGTAGATGTTGCCACCACTCACAACTGTTGTGGGTCGCATTATCTCTGCTGCCTCCTTAACATCCGTAGCAGCAACATCCCCCCAGAAATCGCACAAAAGGAACACTGTTGTCCGCCATCGAGATCTCCATTGGACCACCACTTAAATTCAGCCGCCTCGCCATGATCCCATCACAGCCGCTGACTCCGCCTTCTGCCCTGCACTGAACCCCAGCGGTGGCAAACACACCGCCCTTCACACCCACAAAGCTGGGAGCACGAAGCAACGTAACTTCCACGTCATTTTTACCTTCGCCCTATTTAACAGAAGAAATAATTATCATCCCTTCAAATTAATCAATGAGCTGCACCGAATTACTTTCCTCAGCTTTCCCAGCACCACCGGTGCCGCAGCACATCATCACGACAAGGAGAAGCAGCACCGCAAAAGTAAACGCACGCCGGGACATGTTGGGCCTCTGCCGCTCACTCTCTCTTCCTTCCCTCCTCCTTCCGCTGGATCCGGTCACGCGGCGACGGTTGTGTGTGCGGGGTGCCATGACTGCAGCAACACGTGAGAGCATATAAATATGTGTGCGTGTGCGGTGTGTTTGCTGTTGTTGTTCCTTTCAGAGCCTTACAATTTCACAGTAACGTTTAGCGCTTGTTTTCCTTCTTTGTGAGGGTGGGAAATAAATAAAGAGAAAACATGTCAAGAAAAGAAGTACAACAGTAACCACCCTCACCCATCCACAGTGAGTGGCATCATCATCCCCGCCATAGTCACTCCCAACAACAACAACTCACGCATGCAGACACACGGAACAGCAGAAGGAGAAACAATGCACCGGGAACACACAGCGACTGCCACCACCACCAGCACGAGTCACGGAGGTGCGTCGTTCGTCACGCGTCAGCATACACCGAGCAACGACCGCCCACAAAGCAACAAAACGCAGGCTTCTTCTCTCCTCGCGAGGGTCTCCGCAGCCACAATCCTGTGCGTGCGTGCATTCTCAGCGTTTGCAACACGGCATGTGTGTGCATGTGCTTGTGTGTTTGGCAGCGCCTATACTTGCAGAGCAGCTGTGCGCCACAAGAGAGTCTGAAGAAAGCAACGGCAGAGAGAGGCAGATAGCACACACGCAAATTACTCATATCATCGCACACACACACACGCAGCCGCGGAATGGGTGCACTCAACCACAAAATCAAAAAGGAAAACAAAACAAAAAGCCGAAGCGTGGGACGACCAGCGCACACACACTCTCATTGCTCCAGTAAAGCAAAACACACACAAAGAGGGAGAGAGAGAGAGGTCGCCCACTCAATGCAATAAAAACAAAACAGAAACAGTTACGGTGCTCCGCCCATGCAGCCAGGCAGGACGGCAGCGGTGCGTGTCGTGCAAAAGAGAGCACCAACGGGCCTGCATGGGTGTGCATGCATATATACAATGGGCACATTATTGTGTGTGCTTCGTGGGGTGAGGTGAGGGCGAGAGTCCATGCAAGGGGACACACACACAGAGAGTGAAGGACGAGTGTGTGTGTGCGGGCGGTGCACGGCTCTCTCACTCACTCTCACGCGGCCACCACCGCCGCTGCCGCAGTAGCAGCACTCGCAACAAGAAGAAGCAAAAGAGGGGAGGTGGTATGGGAGACCGCGGTGCTGCTGTCACTGTCGCCAGTCGGAGTCGTATCATTTGCAATAGCTGTGGTTTTTATTGGTGTTTCTTTTGCACCGTCATCTTTATTTCCATCATCTTGTGCTGCTTCTGGTACTGCGTCAACACCTGCCGTATTTTTATTGGAAATCTCCTCCTCAGTAGCCTCGTCAGGGCCATTACTGGCGGCAACACTTTTCTCTGACAAGCGTGATGTTGGAGTTGATTCGGCATGGCTGTCATATGTTCCATCCTTTTGTTTGCTTGTGGTGAGAACACTGTCTTCTTTTCTTGACTCACTCCCTGACTCCCGGCCGCCTTGAGCTTTCTGTACCTGTTGCACTGAGACGACATCTGCAGAGCCGGGGTCTTCATTTTTTACTTGTGGCGTTGCTGCTGGTGCTGTTTCTTTCTCGCTGCCATCCTCTCGTTGATGTTGTTGTTTTTCGTCCGTCACCGCGGCACGAGATGCTAAATCATCGCCCGAATTCTCTGCATTGTCCTCGTCAGCGTCATTGGTGACAGCATTATCGTCATCCGCCGCAAAAGATGATAATGTTGTTTCTTCCTGACCCTCGGTTGTCACATTTTGTGTGGCACCTGCTGTTGGTATGTTGCCCTGTTTCAGAAGGACGTCGGCTGGCTGCGTGCTTTCTGTGTCCTCCTTCGCTGGTGACGATGCGGTGTGAAATGATTCCTTCGCTGATGGAGCTGCTGCTGATGTTTTTGCGGCCACACTTGTGTTTTTTTGTTGGTCGCCTCCTCCTTTTCCGCTGGCTTCAGACGATCGAGAAACTTCAGAAGACAAATCAGAGGATACTCCTCCCGGAATGTCAGCGGCACGAACATCACTTGAAGAAGGCGATAAAGCATCCACCTCCGGCTGATTCGCCGGTACTTTCATCGCCTTGGAGTCCTTTAGATCTGAACCAACTAACGCTTTTCTCTCGGGCACACTCCTGTTTTCATCGCCCATTAATTCCCGCCGTACGTCTAACTCCTTATATTTGGTGACGGACGGTTCTTCAGGCTGCGGTTGCTCTAATCCCAATTCTGTTCCCCCTCCTGCACCTCCTTTTGAAGATTTCGCTTGATCTCTCAATGCCAAGCCCTGTAAAGTGCCTTGCGTTTCCTGGACCAGCAGTGGTAGCGTTGATCCAACGGAGATAGCTTCGGTGGGGCCATCTTCAGGATCCTTAGCAACCAGCGCATACCGCTGAGGCCTCCAACGACGACGGCCATCCACAACGGCACGCACGCCGTCCATCCCTTGACGGAGGCATTCCCCAACGGCGGACGCATTCGCCTCGCCTCCTGTCCTCCTGCCGGCCTCCTCCGCGCATTCCCTCCGCAGCTGAGCGTGCCACCGCAAGAGCGAATACTCAACCGCACTGCCATCGGCATCGCCACCGCCGGCACCGCACCACAGCACGCAGAGGACACACACCAGCAGCACACGGCCAGTCATCATCGCCATCACTCCTGTCACTTACGTGTGGCCTTCAGCAAAAGTAACACCACGTCAACAGAGAGCAAAAACAAAAAGATAGACACAGCCGCTACACCACGCACAGCAACAAATGGCAGCACCCCAGCAGCAGCAGCAGCGCACACACCACGAGACAGATGGAGTCAGTACGATTGCAGAGCTCGCACACCGCACCGCAAGCCAGAAGTTTAAAAAGCAATAAAAACAATAATTAAAAAAAGAAATTAAAAAAGAAAAACAAACCCAGGGCTCCAGTGCGCATGCTTGTGAGTGTGTCCGCGATGCGTTCAACGTGGCGGATGCGGGGCACAACGCGGAGCACACAGCACGGCAGCAGAAGCAAGTGAAGCAAAACAAGATCATTATTTTCTCTTATTTTATGCAGTGAACCACAACACACGCGCACAAATCCCGCGGTTGAGTGCTGGCACGCACAGCCCGCACACACCTCTTCAGCCCACAGTGGTGTACGCCAGCGCGGATGCGGCGAGCACCAGCGGGGCACACACCCACGCAGAGCTGCCGAGGCTGCCGTCGATTTCGCGAAGACGTGACGGTGCGCGGGTGGTCGACACAGCTGGCGCCTCTGTAGTCGTAGTACTTGGTGCCTCTGTTGTAGTGGTGGTCGTGGTGGTTGGTGCCTGTGTTGTAGTGGTGGTCGTCGTGGTTGTGGTGGTCGTCGTTGTGGTCGTCTCAAAAGAAGCTTCGGCTTTATTAACGTCTTTGTCCGTAGATGTACCGGTACCAATTTCTGATCCTTTATTGCCGATCGTAACCTCTGTCAGTGATGTATTTGACACGTTATTTACTTTTGGTCCCGGATCGGTTGAACGTGGCGCTTCTGCCTCAATTGTTTCCGCAGTCGGCTCAGTGCCTGAATTTTTAGCAGCCTGACCGTTCCCTGGTATTCCTCCTGTTTCAGGGCCCGAACCTGACAACTCTGACTGACCGGCCGTCGGGGTTGGTGGCTGTGGTGGAGGGGGCGGTGAAAGGGGAGCGGCTTGAGGTCCAGGCTGAGCGTCTGCCACGCACACGGATGGGCAGTAGCACAGGGCAAGCACCAACAGAGCGCACAGCAGACGGCACGTCATCATCATCGTGAGTTTGGTCGTTCAGTGGTGTGGAGCTGATCTGCACAGTGAGGGACATGGAGAGCAACAGGGGAGACGAGAGGTGCGGCAGACACACACAGAGGGCACACCACATGAGGAGAGGGCAGCAGCCAGGCATGCACCGTACGCCGCACACCACGCACGACACACACTCCAATCCACGGCAGCAGGCACACACACACAGCCCTGCCGCAACACCAACACACAGATGGAGGAGGGAGAAGCAAACAGGAGCGGCACACAAGGCTCCACCGCATGCACATACGGCGAGAGCGGTCCGTCGCGTCGGCACCCCTCACGGAGGGTGCGCATACACACAAGAAGGTGCAGCGCACACAGCAACAAAAAAGCAAAGTAACAATACAAAACGAAATCCCCGCACACCACGCGGATTGTTGGTCCACGGGAAGTGCAGCCAATATTCATCACAAAAACAGTTCGGTTGCCGTATGCCTTCGTCCACATTCGGCGCACTCCACTTCATGCAGGCCCGGCCACCACCGCAGCAGCAGCCGCACACGCAACAACAACAAGAAGAAGCGAAAGAGGGGAGGTGGTGTGGGAGACTACGGTGCTGCTGCCACTGTTGCCATGAGAAGCTGTGTCACGTGTTTTGTTGTTTGTGGTTGGCGCTGCTGTGGATCCTGCACTCTGAGGTACCGTATCATATTTTTTGGCTAATACAGCTTCACCATCGGAATTCATGCCGGGTGATGTGGCGCCTTCAATGGATTGTCGGTTCGGATGATTGCTGGTTGGAGTGCCTTCTGTGCCAGTGTCAGACCGCACGGCTGTAGTTATCGTGGTGCTGTTGTCGCTGTCGCCAGAAACGGTTGTGCCAAGTGTGTTACGGGCGGTGGCTGCTGGTATTGCTTGCGATTGGCTGCCAGCAACAGTTTCATGTTCCGCTCCTTCTTGCAGTAGTGCTTTGCCGGATCGTTCGTTATTGTTGGAAATGTCCTCCGCAGCGCCCCCTTTTCCTAGAGCAGAAGTCGGACCATTTCCAGTTGTAGAGGTGGATGAAGAATGTGTTTGTTGTTGACTGACAGCTGGTATATCTTGTGTGATACCTGCGCCGGTTGCGGCTTTATCCTCCGGTGAGTCCTCTTCGGTGTCCCCTTTAGGTGTTGTCTCTCGCCCCACCACTGGCGTCAGTGCCGCTGTCGATGCTGCTTGTTCCACTGTGCCTTCCTGCTCCTTCGCCCCTCGGTCTGCTGCTGGTGGATGGCTGTCGCTCGTGGAAGATACGCCCAATTGTTCTTCATTCACGGTGGTTATTACTTCACCCTCCGCAGTCGCAGCATCATCACCACAAACACCACCACCATTTTCTAATTTTGTTTTTGCGTTGGGCGACTGTTCTGGCGCACTGAGATCGCTTTTCCCTCCTGTTCCCGCATCAGTGTGGTACGAAACATGAGGCACTAATTCATGCTGATCCCGTACGACTTCATGCCCCTCTTTTGCAAGAGTTAAGGCATCCCTAGATTCATTTAAACCCACACTCTCACCAACACCGGGAAGTGAAGGTTTGCCACCCGTAGGAGCAGAACCCGGCAAGTGACTTCCACCGCTCACAGAGCTTCCATCAGTGACATCTCCATTATCACCATGACCCCCAACTGGGGAAGAAGATTGACCAACACTCCCAACAACACCTTGGCCGGAATGCTCACGATCCTCCCCGGTAACTGCCGACACCAAAGGATACCCGCACCACAGCACGCAGAGGGCACACACCAGCAGCACACGGCCAGTCATCATCGCCATCACTCCTGTCACTTGCGTGTAGCCTTCAGCAAAAGTAACACCACGTCAACAGAGAGCAAAAACAAAGAGAGAGACACAGCCGATACACCACGCACAGCAACAAATGGCAGCACCCCAGCAGCAGCAGCGCACACACCACGAGACAGATGGAATCAGTACGATTGCAGAGCTCGCACACCGCACCGCAAACCAGAAGTTTAAAAAGCAATAAAAACAATAATTAAAAAACAATAATTAAAACAGAAAAACAAACCCAGGGCTCCAGTGCGCATGCTTATGAGTGTGTCCGCGATGCGTTCAACGTGACGGATGCGGGGCACAACGCGGAGCACACAGCACGGCAGCAGAAGCAAGTGAAGCAAAACAAGATCATTATTTCTCTTATTTTATACAGTGAACCACAACACACACGCACACAAATCCCCGCGTTTGAGTGCTGGCACGCACAGCCCGCACACACCTCTTCAGCCCACAGCGGTGTACGCCAGCGCGGATGCGGCAAGCACCAGCGGGGCACACACCCACGCAGAGCTGCTGAGGCTGCCGTCGATTTCGCGAAGACGTGACGGTGCGCGGGTTGTCGTCGTGGTTGGCGCCTCTGTAGTTGTCGTGGCTGGTGCCTGTGTTGTTGTGGTCGTCGTGGTCGTCGTAGTTGGTGCATTTGTTGTGGTGGTCGTAGTCGTTGTCTGAGCAGAGGCTTCAGACTCCTTATTTTTGTGTTCTGCGGATGTTTCAGTGCGACTTTCTTGCTCTTGCGTACCCTCTGTCAGTGATTTATTTGGGTCGGTACCTACTTTTGGT